ATTAGGGGCAATGAGTTTAGTTACAGCATTAATTGCCCTCAAATCATGTACCATACGGTAGACCACAGGTTTCCCTTTCTCTTGCTTTTTCTTAATTGGGTACAATGGTGTGTTACAAGGGGAGGTGGTCTGGACAACTACCCCTGCCTGCAGAAACTCTTGCACAGATTGCGAAATAGCATCTTCCTGTGCTGGGCTTAAGGGGTATTGTTTTTGATAGGGAGGTTTGGCTCCGGGCAGGAGATTCAATTTGACTGGGGGCACAGAGAGTCTGCCTGTATCTGTCTTCCCTGTAGCCCATAAGGAATCAGGGACTGAGGACAAGTCAATGGTAGGTTCTGGCATATGGCTGGGCATAGTGAGAGTTGCCAGAACATTTGAAAGAGATATCATTTGTTTGTCCTCTAAAGGCACAGACAATGTTACTTTTCCAGTGGGGCTATACTGGATATTTGCACTAAGAGCAGACAGTATATCACTGCCTAGTAGATTAGCAGGGGCATTAGGGCTGACAAGTAGCCTTGTTACAAGGGCAGTAGAGTCATGTAGCTTCAATTTCAACTTGTGGGTCAGGGGAATGTCATTTTCGATACCATCTACCCCTACACATGATAATACATCATTAGATTTCTCATACGGGAATACATATTTTTCCTGTAACATTGATTTAGCAGCGCCAGTGTCCAACAGGAAAGGGACTATTCGGTCCCCAGGCAGTGTAACATTGATAATGGGTGAGGGTCCTGCAGAGTCAGGGATATTGATGATATGTAGGGACACTGGTTTGCCAATCTCCTATTGGGGGGGGGGAGGTGGTGGTGGTGGTGGTTGGCTGTCATGGGAGTTATCATTAGAATCTTGGGGTTTTCTATTTTTAGGAGGACACCTGCAGTTACGTTTAATGTGTCCTTTCCTGCCACAATTCCAGCAGTCTACCTGCCTTCTGTCCCCATCAGCTCTAGGGACAGTTACAGCCATTAGAGGTGTGCTCCTCTTTCTAGTATTTAGATTAGCTTCCACTCCCCTAGCCACCTTCACCAGATCACCATAGGTTAAACTTCTCCACTCAGGTCTAGCATTTTGGAGACCAGTCCTTATGGGTATGTGGATACCATCCATGAAGCAGTTAATAAGCAGTCTGGTCGAAGTGGTTACAACATCAGTGTAACCCAATGCCTCCCAAGCCATTTGTAGTCTGGTGAAGAATGTTTCTACAGATTCATCTTTCCCTTGTAGTATGTCTCCTAATTTATGGGCTAGTTCCTCTGTCTTTACCTTAGCCCATTCTCTCATTGCAGTGACATAGCATGCTCCAGATGCAGACTTGGTTCTAAACCATTCATCTGTTTGCATGTTGCTTTTTCTGAGGTTATCTTCATGGGCATCTGTATATTTAGCAATTATTCTAGCCAAAATGGGACCAGCTTTTAGTGCCACAATCTGTTTTAAATCCATCCAAGTACACTGGTAAGTAGCTTGAATTGTGGATAGAGACTGGACTAGAGCTAAGGGGGCCTTTTCAACATCTGGCAGCTGCTGTATTATTGCCAGTTGTTCACTGGGTGTCCAGGGCTTATATTCTTCCCAGTATTGGATACCTGAGCTCGGCTGTCTGTGCTCATGGTATACACTCTCAACTTTGGGTATCATGGGAGTAGAAAATTGTGGAGCTAATGGCCCCACTGGGGTATCTGTGGGGGCAACTAGGGGTTCCTTTAAGTCTGGACTACCTTCCTGCTCTAATGAACCCATAGGTCTTACTGGGACACTATATGAAGTCCCACTGCGTAATATTACTGGAAAGAGAGGTTTTGATCTCTGTAAAAGGGAAATCGCCTTGTCTTTTGGGACCAAAGGAGTCCCTGCAGTATCCTGGTAAAAGGGTGGGTTTGCAAGATTTTTCCCAGGATCTTGCCTACTCTGGGACCCTAGAGGTCCAAAACATTGATAATATGGTACACCTTTCCTGGTGGTTTCTCTACAACCACATTTAGTTAATTCAACAGCAGTATCATGCCATTTTTGTGCGACTTCTACTAAGTCATTATCTTCTAACCAACCTCTGTAATTTGCCATAAATTCACTCCATATATGTGGGTCTAGAGTGCCTTCTGAGGGCATGCCAGCTTTCTTAAGTAACCTCTTAACATTCTTAATTGCTCCTTGTCCTTTGTGATGCTTGACAATAGTCAAAGCCGTAAATCCCCCTTGGGTACTTTCAGAGCTACCCATCTTAAAACTTGTAAGGGTTAATTACTTCCTTACACAAGACAAACTGTACAAAAACAGTGTATTTAAACACTTAGGACCGCTGCAGTGGAATTTTCACAGTTATATTCCACTATCTCAAGATTCCTTTCACAAGACATAACACAACCTCCAACTGAATATAACCATAATACCACAGAAAACAAGTTCTTTAGATCAGACGTTTTTAAGTCGTTCTTTACCCAGACAGACTAGTAGGACGTGGATCTGAGAGCGAAATTGATAAAGGTAGAAAAAAGTTTTTCTTACCTTCCTGTACAGCTGATTTCACTGTCAGAGGGACGTCCACCTGTACGCTAGTGTCCGAGTCTCTCGACCGTCAGATCCCGGGGTCACGGCACCAAATTGTTGTGGATCAGAAATGTTGATCTTTGTTATATTCAGAGGAAGCCCAAATTGTTGTTACAAGTGCACTTGGAGAAGCGAGAATTAGACACCAGACACCTGTTGGTATTCAAAATAAGCCTCTGACGTTTTATTCATCAGCTGGGTTTTATACATTAAAAAGTAAGTGCTTACGTGCAAATACTCTTAGAACAGTAATAGGAAGAAAATACAGATAAGACATAGGGATGAGCGTCATGTACCCATAACAAATAAGTTTCAAGGTATGAGAGAACAAAATGATTAGAGCAGAGACATCTTAGGTGGGGGCTCTCTGCTCCCGGAACTTAGACATATATGGTCTTAAGTGTTGTTTAAGCATCAAGCATTTCCTGAGTCCAAGTTAGCCAATTTTAATATAGGATATCATTATATGACACCTATAAGCTTGAGCCTTGGAATCAAGATAAATTCTATCACAGTTTTGGTAACCCCCGGATGACCAGCAGTTTTGGCTGTGTGAAATAAAGTTAACAACTTTTTTCTGTCATTTGCTTCAACGTATAGTTTACCAACCGGCGTCTCAGGGGGTGCCTGGGTTTGGTATGTCTTAATACTATCAAAGAAAGGTGAAGAAACAACCAAATGGGTAGCAGCTATTATCTGAGACGCAGGTACAATAGGTTCAGGAGTCGGGTTAACAAATTCTACTAGTTCATGCTGTCGAGAGATAGTGTCAGCTTTGGCATTACGGCAACCAGGTCTATAGGTAATAACATATTGGAAGCGTGAGAGAAATAGAGACCATCTAGCCTGCCGGCAGATAACCTTCTAGCATCAGCTATATAGGATAGGTTCTTATGATCTGTTATAACCATAATTTTGTGTCTAGACCCCTTTAATAAGTACCTCCATTCCTTAAAAGCTAACACAATAGCTAATAGTTCCCTATTCCCAACATCGTAATTTTTCTCTGAATCAGACAACCTTTTAGAAAAATAACAACAGTTATGGAGGGGTTTGTCATACGACAACCTCTGTGACAGTACGGCTCCCACACCTGACTCTGAAGCGTCTACTTCCATAACAAAGGGAAGAGAAGGATCAGGGTGGTGCAGCACTGGAGCAGAGGCAAATGCCTTCTTGAGGGTTTCGAAGGCCTTAAGGGCTTCAGGAGTCCAAACCCTAGGGTGTAGACCTTTTTTTGTCAGCTTCGTTATAGGAGAGATGAGTGGTGAAAAGTTTTTTATAAACTTCCTATAATAGTTGGCAAATCCTATAAAACGCTGGATAGCCTTCAGTCCTTGGGGAAGTGGCCAGGACAGTTTAGCTTCCAATTTAGCGGGATCCATACTGAAACCCTGTTCAGTATTGATATATCCTAGGAAATGCACAGATGTCTGATCGAATAAACCTTTTTCTAACTTACAGTAGAGTCCGTTCTGCAATAGCCTTTTGAGCACCATCCTAACATGGTTATGGTGTGACTTCAAATCAGGAGAATACACAAGTATGTCGTCAAGGTACACCACAGCACAGACATGCAATAGATCCCTAAGGACATCATTTATGAGGTCCTGAAACACGGCAGGAGCATTACACAGTCCAAAAGGCATGACCAGATATTCGTAATGCCCACTGCGTGTGTTGAACGCTGTCTTCCACTCGTCATTCTGCTTTATACGGACAAGGTTATAAGAGGTCTAATTTGGTGAAGAATTTAGAACCTTTAACACGATCAAACAACTCAGTGATGAGGGGGATAGGGTAGGCGTTTTTAACCGTTATATTGTTCAGACCCCTGTAGTCTATACATGGCCTCAAATCGCCCTCCTTCTTTGCCACAAAGAAGAAACCAGCACCAGCAGGAGAGGAGAACCTTCTAATAAAACCTTTACTTAGGGATTCCCGTATGTACTCCTCCATGATCTGGTTTTCTTTTTCAGAAAGAGGGTAGACCTTTCCCCTAGGAGGCATAGTACCCGGTAAGAGGTTTATGGCACAATCATACTCACGATGTGGAGGTAGCTTATCTGCCTCCCTCTTTTCAAAAACCAAGGCAAGGTCTGCATAAACAGAAGGGACAGAAACAGAGAGTGGTTTAGCCGTGGGCACGTTAAGTAAACAAACAGGACGTACATGAGCCATACAGTCTCGTTGACAAGATTCCCCCCAGGAGAGTATATCTAAACAACCCCAATCAAGAACAGGGTTGTGTTTAACTAACCAGGGAAAACCCAGAACGATGGAGGCTGTAGGGGAGTCAATTATTTGGAAGGTTAACTTCTCCTTGTGCAAAACACCCACAGACATAACTATTTCCTGGCTTTCATGGGTCACCAGAGGTTTCTCCAGTGGTCTACCATCTATGGCCTCAACGGCCAAGGGTGTCTCCTTTCGGATCAAATTCAGGGCTTTGGTTGTTATAGTGGTTTTATTGACCAAAAGAGAAACCGTAATAAACGGTCTGGAGATGGACATATGAGGGGACAAAGTCATAACACCCGAGGCCGACCCCTCGCTAGGCCTTAGGTGCTGCAGTTTCCCTGTACTTTAGGGCAGGCTTTACAGTGGTGCCCCCTCTTCCCACAATAAAGGCATAACCCCTCCCTTCTACGGTATGCTCTTTTGGTCTCAGTTAACCCCGTTCAGGGGATGGTTGCCTAGGAGTGGGTAACGCTAGCAGTGCAGTACTGGGTAGAGCAGGTAACACCCGTGTATCCAACCGTCTTTGACTACGCCTCTCTCTAATACGGTTATCGATAAGAATCACATAGTCTATAACATCATCTAGAAGAGCAGGCAATTCCCTGGATGCTATTTCATCCAGTATATAAGCGGCCAGACCCTCCTGAAAGGCTGTTACGAGGGCGTCATTATTCCAAACCACTTCAGCTGCTAGAGTACGGAATTCGATAGTGTAATGTGCTACAGATCTGTTACCCTGTCGGACCCTAAGCAGAGCCTTGCCAGCAGAAGCAACCCTACCGGGTTGATCAAACGTGCGTCTGAAAGCTGTCAGAAAATCTGCAAAGGACATAGGAGATGTGTTTTCCCAAATGGGGTTGGCCCATGCTAAAGCTCTCCCAGACAAGTGGTTTATCAAAAAGGCAATTTTAGATCTGTCAGTGGGATAGGAACGTGGATTCATCACCAAATGGATGTCGATTTGGTTGAGGAAACCACGACACAATGCTGGGTCACCGCTGTAGCGCCGTGGCGGCGTCATGTGAACTACATGAGCGGGAACAGGTACTGGAGTGGGAATGGGTTCGGGCACAGCAGCAGCAGCCTCCTGAACGGCAGGTTGCAAGTGTGCAGTACGAGCCAGTATGGTTTGCAAAGCTTGAGCAAACTGATCCATACGGTGGTCCAAGCCATCCATTCTAGCCTCTTGATTAACTAGGAGCTGTGGTATGTCAGCAGGTTCCATTATGGCCCTGTTGTAATGTCACGATTCGGGGAACCCAACACGCTGGCACACACACACACACACAAAAGGGGCCGTACCGGACCTTAGAGTGGCCGGGCTAAGCACACACAGAATAGTCAGGAAACAAGCCGAGTAAGGGGAACCAGAAGACAGAATAACGTGAAACGAGCCGAGGTCAAAGGGTAGGAGAAAGTCACAGAGTCAGATAAACAAGCCAGAGAGTACGTAACCAGAACCACAAGGTAAGTAGCAATACTAGTAAGCAAAGACCACAACAGGGCAGGGAGGAACAGGAAAGGTAAGTATTTAAAGCATAAGGTTAATTCTGATTGGATAATTTCCAATTAGAATTAACAATCACACGTGGGAGATATCTAGACCTCCCACTGTGATTGAGGCACTGTGCCTTTAACGCCGGGTCAGGTGACTGACCCTGGCGTGTACAAACTTGGGCGGTCTCCCAGCGTGCAGCGTCATGTATGCTGCCGCTGGGGGACGTGGAGGAAACGGCGGGCGGCATCCGAGGCTGGAAGGATGCCGCTCGCCGGACCCACGAGGAGGAGGGGACCGCGGACGGCTGGAGGGTGAGTACCGCGAGCGGAGTGCAGCCTCCCCTCGCAGCCGCCCGCGGGATCCCGACATTCTGCAGTGTTCACTTATCTTTATTTTCAAGCACCTTGTTGTCATTCCAACATACTGGAAGCCACAAGGGCATTCGAGCAGGTAAATTACATTTTTGGTGTTACAACTTATAAATTCTTTAATGGATAGGTAGTTCTCGTTCTGTTAGAAGTAAATTCGGTGGTCTTAGATGGTAATGTAGAATCAGCAGTTTTACACACAATACACGTTTTGCATTTATAAAAACCTTTAGCTTGGGGAAAAAAAGATATTGACTTCATATTTTGTTTTTTTTTTGTTAAAATTAGTGGTTAAAATAGGTTTAAAATTCGGAGCTCCTCTAAAAACAATGTTTGGCTTGTTAGGAATAATTTCTTTTAATTTTTCATCTTGTTCTAAAATGTGCCAATGTTTTTTAATAATTTTTTAAATTTCTTTGCTCTTATTATTGTAATCAAAAGTGATGGGGAGACATATGGAATCATTTTTAGTTTTTATTTTATATTTTAAAAGTTCATCTCTATCTACAGCTTTCACCTCATTTAATATTTTTCAATACATCTATTTCTGAATAGTTCTTCTCCATAAATTTATTTTTTAGAAATTCTGCTTGTTCATTAAAATTATCTAAATCAGTGCAATTTCTACGTAATCTTAAAAATTGACTTTTGGGGACGCTGTCGAGCCAAGGTTTGTAGTGACAGCTAGTTTTGTCAATGGCTGTATTGACACAGACTTTCTTAAAAAACATTTTAGTTTGTATTTTATTGTCTTTGATAAAAATATCGAGGTCTAAAAAGTTTATTTTTTCTTTGCTAAAATCATGAGTTAAAATTATGCCTCTGTTGTTAGTGTTTAGATTACCAATAAAAGAAGTAAGACTCTCTTCAGACCCGTTCCAAATAAAAAAGAGGTCATCGATATATCTGAAGTATGAGACCAGGTTCGCCCTAAGATGGTCCCCATCATATATTGCATAAGATTCCCAATCTGACATAAATAGATTGGCGTAGCTTGGGGCGAACCTGGTACCCATAGCTGTGCCTCTTTTTTGTAAATAAAAGGAATCTAAAAACCAAAAATAGTTGTTTTTTAAAATAATATTTATCCCTTCTAGTATAAAATCTATTTGTGTTGTAGAGAGTCTGTTTTCACTTATTAAAATATTTTTAATGGCTGCACATCCAAAATTGTGAGGTATAATGGTGTACAAAGACTGTACATCGCATGTAGCTAGAATAAAATTGGAATTCCACTTAAAATTATTTAAAAAGTTTAAAAGGGACATTGAGTCTTGTAGATAAGATTAAATTTTTTTAACTGCAGGTTGTAGGAGAGTATCGATGTATTGTGAAAGGTTGCAAAGAAGAGAGCCTATTCCTGACACTATTGGTCTACCGGGAGGATTAGTTTCATTTTGTGTATTTTTGGAAGAAAATAAATAAACGGAATTATTGGAGATTTTTTGTCTAGGAAATTGAACTCATGTTTATTAAGAATACCCAAAGATACACCTTTTTCTAAAAAAACGATAAAATATTTTTTATACTTATAGTGGGATCTGATTTTAATTTTTCATATATGTCTGTATCGTTTAATTGTCTGCGCTTCTTCAATATACATAGAACTAGGTAAAATAACTAAACCTCCTCCTTTGTCTGCGGGTTTTATGACGATTTCTTTGTCGTCTTGTAGTTCTTTAAGAGCCTTTCTTTCAGCATTCGTTAAGTTATGAGAGTCCTGGTTTTTTGTATGCAACTTTTCTAGATCTTTAGTGACTAATTTTTAAAAAACAGATGGGCTGTCTTCATAAAAGCTGGATAAAATTTAGATTTTTATTTAAAATGTGTATTTATGACTTGATCTCTTAAAGGTGAAGGGGGAGATAATAATAGGTAGTGATGTCACGAAATTTTCGGTTCGCGAACGGCGAACGCAAACTTCCGAAAATGTTCGCGAACCGGCGAACTGGGCGAACCGCCATAGACTTCAATGGGCAGGCGAATTTTAAAACACACAGGGACTCTTTCTGGCCACAATAGGGATGGAAAAGTTGTTTCAAGGGGACTAACACCTGGACTGTGGCAAAACTCCCATGGAAAATTACACAGTTGATACAGAGTCTGGTTTTAATCCATAAAGGGCAGAAATCACCTAACATTCCTAAATCACAATGAATATGGATTGACACCTGACATATGACATATTGACACCTTGACATATGGATTGACACCTGTCCTCAGAGCCCCTGATGCACACAGACACAGAGCAGAATAGGGACTGGTCCCCCTACATATGGTCACTTGGCAGATATGGATTAACACCTATCCTAAGGATCCCTGATACACACTGACAAAGAGCAGAATAGAGACTGTTCCCCCTACATAGGGTCACTTGGCAGGTATGGATTAACACCTGTCCTCCGAGACCATAATACACACTGACACAGAGCAGAATAGAGACTGTTCCCCCTACATAGGGTCACTTGGCAGATATGGATTGACACCTGTCCTCAAAGCCCCTGATACACACTGACACAGAGCAGAATAGAGACTGTTCCCCCTACATAGGGTCACTTGGCAGATATGGATTGACACCTGTCCTAGGGATCCCTGATACACACTGACACAGAGCAGAATAGAGACTGTTCCTCCTACATATGGTCACTTGGCAGATATGGATTGACACCTGTCCTCAGAGACCATGATACACACTGACACAGAGCAGAATAGAGACTGTTCCTCCTACATAGGGTCACTTGGCAGATATGGATTGACACCTGTCCTCAGAGCCCCTGATACACACTGACACAGAGCAGAATAGAGACTGTTCCCCCTACATAGGGTCACTTGGCAGATATGGATTGACACCTGTCCTCAGAGCCCCTGATACACACTGACACAGATCAGAATAGAGACTGTTCCTCCTACATAGGGTCACTTGGCAGATATGGATTGACACCTGTCCTAAGGATCCCTGATACACACTGACACAGAGCAGAATAGGGACTGTTCCTCCTACATAGGGTCACTTGGCAGATATGGATTGACACCTGTCCTCAGAGACCATGATACACACTGACACAGAGCAGAATAGAGACTGTTCCCCCTACATAGGGTCACTTGACAGATATGGATTGACACCTATCCTCAAAGCCCCTGATACACACTGACACAGAGCAGAATAGAGACTGTTCCCCCTACATAGGGTCACTTGGCAGATATGGATTGACACCTGTCCTCAGAGACCATGATACACACTGACACAGAGCAGAATAGAGACTGTTCCCCCTACATAGGGTCACTTGGCAGATATGGATTGACATCTGTCCTAAGGATCCCTGATACACACTGACACAGAGCAGAATAGGGACTGTTCCTCCTACATAGGGTCACTTGGCAGATATGGATTGACACCTGTCCTCAGAGCCCCTGATACACACTGACACAGAGCAGAATGGAGACTGTTCCCCAAACATAGGGTCACTTGGCAGATATGGATTGACACCTGTCCTCAGAGCCCCTGATACACACTGACACAGAGCAGAATAGGGACTGTTACCACTACATAGGGTCCCTTGGCAGATATGGCGTGGTCGTGGGAGGAGGAGGATGACTTTCACCTCTTCCCCTGTTAGATTCCCGTTGTGCTGTGACATCACCCTTATACGCTGTGTAAAGCATACTTTTTAATTTATTTTGCAAATGCTGCATCCTTTCCGACTTGTAATTTGGTAACATTTCCGCCACTGTCTGCTTATACCGGGGGTCTAGTAGCGTGGACACCCAGCACAGATCGTTCTCCTTCAGCCTTTTTATACGAGGTTCCCTCAACAGGCACGACAGCATGAAAGACCCCATTTGCACAAGGTTGGAGCTAATCATTTCCCGTTCCTCCTCCTCACACAGAGCAGAATAGGGACTGTTCCCCCTACACTTGGCAGATTTGGATTGACACCTGTCCTTAGGGTCCCTGATACACACTGACACAGAGCAGAATAGAGACTGTTCCCCCTACATAGGGTCACTTGGCAGATATGGATTGACACTGTCCACAAGGACAAGCTGCAGGCTTCCTGGCAGGGCCCATACAAGGTGGTAGAGCAGGTTTGTGATACCACCTTTGTGATCCGTGCGGTCACAGGCACGGGAGGCAAGCGCATGCTCCATGTGAACATGCTCAAGCCATACCACGAGCGCACGGAAGAGGTAACCGCGATCTGTGCACCTGCCACTGAAGATTATGATAATTTGCCACTCCCAGATCTCCTAGACCTAGAGGGCCAGAGCAGAGACCTGGGAGAAGTACAGTTAGGAGAATGGTTAGACCCCCAGGAGCGAACCCAGGTCCAAAGACTAATCCAGGACAAGGGGGCCACGTTTTCCAACCTACCTGGGTGCAGTCCGTTAACCACTCACAAAGTTGAAACCCTAGACCAGACCCCCCTTCGCCAAACCGCCTATCGCATACCCAAAGCAGTTAAAGAAAATATTCAGAAAGAAATTGAGGAAATGATGCAGTTAGGGGTGATAGAACACTCTGACAGCCCCTGGGCCTCCCCGGTAGTACTAGTACCGAAAGGGGACGGCACGACCCGTTTCTGTGTAGACTACCGGAGGCTAAACGATAAAACAACCTCAGACGCCTCGTCTATACCCCGGATAGACGAGCTCCTAGACAAAATGGCCAGAGGCCAGTACCTCACCACAATAGATCTGTGCAAGGGGTACTGGCAAATTCCATTAGCCGAGGACGCCATCCACAGGTCGGCATTTGTCACCTCGTTTGGCCTGTATCAGTTTAAGGCCATGCCATTCGGGATGAAGAATGCCCCGGCTAACTTTCAGAGGATGGTAGATCGGCTACTGGATGGGTTTCAGGAGTATGCCTGCGCCTACTTGGATGATATAGCCATTTTAGCTGCTCCTGGCCAGAACACCTGACCCACATAGGAGCCGTACTAGACCGGATTAGGGAGGCTGGATTGACCCTAAAGCCCAGTAAATGCCATATAGGAACGCGTAAAAACCTCCCTAAGATAGTAGTATGGGCCCCAGAGTGTGAACAGGCCTTCCAACAGCTCAAGACGGCGCTCATTAAATCACCTGTACTTTCTGCTCCTGATCCAACTAAACGCTTTCTCGTCCATACAGACGCTTCTATGTTTGGATTGGGAGCAGTACTGAGCCAAGTCGGAGCAGTAACAGTGAAAAACGTTTTTTTGTTTTTAAATGCAAGCTATTATGACACCAGATATGAGTGGCACTGTAAACTGGCAGAGTACACACTGTAGGGCTGACACACCCGCTTTGAGACAACTAACTGCTATTCAATCTATAACAGTGAAAAAAGTTTTTTGTTTTTAAATACAAGCTATTGTGACACCAGATATGAGTAGCACTGTAAACTGGCAGAGTACACGCTGTAGGGCTGACACACCCGCTTTGAGACAACTAACTGCTATTCAATCTATGACAGTGAAAAAAGATTTTTTGTTTTTAAATGAATGCTATTGTGACACCAGAAATGAGTGGCACTGTAAACTGGCAGAGTACACGCTGTAGGGCTGACACACCCGCTTTGAGACAACTAACTGCTATTCAGTCTATAACAGTGAAAAAAGTTTTTTGGTTTTAAATGTAAGCTATTGTGACACCAGTGAGTGAGTGGTGGCACTGGGCACAGTATCCACTGTGAGCCTGACACACCCGCTTTGAGAAAACTAACTGCTATTCAATCTATAACAGTGAAAAAAGTTTTTGGGTTTTAAGTGCACGCTATTGTGACACCAGATATGAGTGGCAAAGTACACGGGCAGAGGTCTGCAGAGCACACGCTGAAGGAGGCCTGACACCCGCTTTAAGGATACTGACTGCTATTAGCTTACACTGAAAAACTTTTGTTCTTTGTAAAAGCACGCTATAGAGACACCAAATATGAGTGGCAAAGTACACGGGCAAAGGTCTGCAGAGCACACGCTGAAGGAGGCCTGACACCCGCTTTAAGGACACTGACTGTTATTAGCTTACACTGAAAAACTTTTTTTCTTTGTAAAAGCACGCTATAGAGACACCAGATATGAGTGGCAAAGTACACGGGCAGAGGTCTGCAGAGCACACGCTGAAGGAGGCCTGACACCCGCTTTAAGGACACTGACTGCTATTAGCTTACACTGAAAAACTTTTGTTCTTTGTAAAAGCACGCTATAGAGACACCAGATATGAGTGGCAAAGTACACGGGCAAAGGTCTGCAGAGCACACGCTGAAGGAGGCCTGACACCCGCTTTAAGGACACTGACTGCTATTAGCTTACACTGAAAAACTTTTTTTCTTTGTAAAAGCACG